ATTTTGCAGATAAAGAAACTGAGGCTCAGAAGATGGAAGCTCTTGCCCTACATCAAGCCCAGGCCTTCTTTTTTTTTTTTTTTTGAGTTGGAGTCTCACTCTGTCACCCAGACTGGAGTGCAGTGGCTGCTCCCGGCCACCGCAGCCTCGACCCGCTGGGCTCCGGCGATCCTTCCGCCTCAGCCTTCCGGGTAGCCGAAATTACAAGCACACCCGGCAGATTTTTTGATTTATTGTAGAGATGAGGTCTCGCCAAGTTGGCCAGGCGGGTCTCGAACCCGCGGGCTCAGGCAACCCACTCACCTCGGCCTCCCAAGGCGCGGGATTATAGGCTGAGCCACCAGGCCTTCTTCTTTTAAGTCTCATCCTCTTTCTACCTGCTAGTGCCCTAATACACTTTGCTTATTATTCTAGGGGGGAAAATTATCTTCTATAATGTCGTTTTCTCTTACACGTGTATACTTTAGTATCAACTTGCTCAAAGTTACCGATTGAATGCTTGACACCTGTATAAGTTTCCTCTGGCTGCTGTAACAAATGACCAACAAACCAGGTTGCTGGCAGAGTCATGCTGTCTCTGAAGGCCCCAGAAAGGTGGACCGTCCTTGCCTCCTCTTGTCTTCTGGTGGTGGCCGGCAGTCTTTGGCTTATGGACACATCATCCCAGTCTCTGACTCCGTCCTCATGGAGCATTCTCAGTGTGTGTGTGTGTGTGTGTGTGTGTGTGTGTGTGTGTCTGTCTGCTTTCCCTTCTTATAAGGACACCAGTCACTAGATTGGGGCCCACCCTGATTCAGCATGACCCCATCTTCACTAATGGCATCTGCATGTATTTCCATGGAAGATCACCTTCTGAGTTTCTGGGTGGACATGAGTTTTGGAGGGACACACTTCATCGCCATACGGCCTCTGTTAAAGGACTTTCTGGTATCTAGGAACAACTGGGAAATTTCTTTAGCTACCGAGGGCCCTTCCTCCTTACATATCAAGTTTCCCTAAAGAGATTATCGGGCTGATCATTCACTCAACAAATACTTACTGAGCATCTCCCGTGGGGCTGCCACTTTTGCAAGCACGGGAGATACATCTGTGGAAGGGCCACGTCCCCGCTCCGTGGCATTCACATGGAACAAGGAGAACTCGGCGCCAGCATGGTGTGGAAGACGCAGATCTGAGTCACAAGCTCTGGCTTGAGTCTCAGCCTGCTTCTCACGGAAGGGCTTACCCTGGACAGTTGCTCAGCCGGGCCCAGACGGCTTCCTTGCTGGCAGGACGGGAATGCCGGGACCCACACAGCCTCACAAATGCTGGAAGGATCCCTTGAGAGAGTGAGCAAGAAAGCGTGCTGCAAGCCGCTCTCCACGCTGTTATTCACGTGTGGTGCCTCTGACAAATCCTCGGCCATGACTTGGGCGTGATCGTAGTACCGAGCCCCTGGGTTACTGATTGCATTAAAGAGTGAGTCATCATAGAGCAGTACCTGGCGTGCACGGTCACTCAGTCCGTGTTAGAGTTGACGATCACCTGACGTCTGTGGTGCCTGTGGGGACGTTAGGAAATCCAGCCGCTTGTCCACTACGTCTCTTGACCTGTTCATAGTGTCACTTATACTTGGAGAGATGAAAAACAGCATCGCTAGAGATTTGGATGGAGTACCCACTGCCACTGGGCTTGGAGCCTTTGTGGCAAAAATCTCAGCAGGACAAAGTTATGCAAGAGCTCGGGCACTGAGGATGAACGTTCTGGAGGATTCTCTACAGGACTCAGAACAGAACGCATGGCCACCCTGAAAAGAATTGGGCTCTTCCCGACATCAAAGGTAGCTAAGACCCTAGGAGTCAGCCGAGCCAACTGCCTTTTTCTCCAGATAAGGCATGTGTGGCCCAAAGAGGGTAGAAAAGAAGAAATGAGATTGCCGGTGTATCTCCTGTGTCTAGGCCTTTCTACACAGTTCGTTCCCTCTAAACCTCACGCCAGCCCAACGGGGCGTGGGTGTGGTGGTGTCCATTGTACAGGCCTGCAAATGAAGGCCGAGAGACCCAGGCCTACATCTGGACCCATCATGATACAGAGACTGGATCTCATGATCCCACAGCCCAGCCTTTGGCACATACGAGGTGACCGCTCTGCCCTTGGCAGTGGGGACAAGTTTGTTGACTGGTGGCATTTGGTCTGTGAATAACTGGAGGTTCATAATTGGCCAAAATCCCACAGGCCAGCCCAGTTCTCCCAGGTGGAAATTTAAAATCTATATGGTGCCCTTGCTTCTCTGAGCTCTGGCTGACAGTCTCCGCATCACGTCCCCGCTACCCTTTCCAGCTCTCCTGTTTCAGTTATTTATTGCTGGGTAACAGATCGCACTTAAACTTGGTGGCTCCAGACAGCACTGCTGTGCTGTTTGCCTCAATTCCGTGGGTAGACCCTGGGCAGGTCTGCCAGCTGTGGTCACTGGGTGGACAGCAGTTGGTGCTGGTCTTTGGCTGGGGTGCCTCCAGAAGCATGTCACCCCCAGGGGGCTACACAGGGCTTTTCCCAGCATGACTGTCCCAGGGTGGCATTCTACAGAGGGAGGGACAGGGCCTGCAGGGTTGCCTGAGGGGCTCCAGAACTACGCACCACCGTGGCCCCCACATTCTGCGTGTAAGGGTGAGTCACAGCCAGCCCACATTCAAGCGGCCAGAGAAACAGACTTACTTCTTTTTTTTTGAGTTGGAGTCTCACTCTGTCGCCCACACTGGAGTGCAGTGGCCGCTCCCGGCCACCGCAGCCTCGGCCTGCTGGGCTCCGGCGATCCTTCCGCCTCAGTCTTCCACGTAGCTAGAACTACAGGCGCGCGCTACCACGCCCGGCTAGTTTTTGATTTATTGTAGAGATGAGGTTTCGCTAGACTTCTTAATGGGAGCAGGGTCCAGGTCAGACTGCAAAGCGGGGTACACATAAAGAGGGTGTGAACACCTCCTTCCAGACTTCGCCCGTTATTCATGAGGCTGAAGCAGCAAGAGAATTGCCAAGCTGTTCACACGTAGGCCTTGCGAAGGAAGCCTCGGCCCTCCGTCTGGGCTGACTTCCTCAAGGGTGGACATTTTTAGTGGTGGGGGCCTCGAGTCAGAGGATTGCTGGGAAAATGAGGTGTCATGTATTTAAGTCACCTGAAGGTGCCTCACACAGTCGCTTCTTGGTCACAGGGTCTGCCGTCGTCATGGCGACCGTCACTGCCATCCTGGGGACCGAGAGGCAGACACTGGTCCGACGCAGGGTGTGATGGCTTCTCTCCCGTGGCTGCCGCGATGTCCCTCAGGTCCCCAGTAAACTCTTCAGCGTTCCTAATTTAGGCCGGTCCAGATCATGGGTCAACGTTGGAAGTGCAGGGCCAGACTCGGGTCACGCCCAAGCCCCAGGCCCTAGCGTGTTGGCTCTCCAGGTTGTTGGGGAGGGATTGAGTCCTGCATTCTCAGGCCTCGAGGCTACTCTGACCTGGAGAAGGCCATGGCTCGGGGGCACCAAGTCCTGTAAGCAAGTGGCCACAGGACTCGAGGAAACCAAGCATGAGGCAGACCGGGAATTGCGCGGTCCAGGACGCTCGGGGCTGTGGGTATTCCGAGGAGGGACTGGTTCTTCCACTCTTGTGGCAGGGGCGTGCATGGGGCCTTGAAGGACTGTCAAGTTGGCACCAGCAGAGATGGCAGGGGAGAATCCCAAGGAATGCTTGGGGGAAGGAGCAAGGCATGGCTTTCCCAGGAGCCTCTTTGGTTGTGAAGGCGTGAGGAGGGCTGGAGGAGGAGGCGGGTGCTGGGCACGGAGAGCCCCAAGGACCCGCGTATGCATGGGGTTTCCATTCTCAGGGCAGAGAGGCAGCCAGGGCACAATGCCATCTGCAGCCCCAGAGCGGCTTTCCCAAAGCCCTGGTCCCCCCACTGCTCCACAATTTTAACACAATTAATATTAATTCCCTTTATATTTATTTTTTTTGAGTTGGAGTCTCACTCTGTCGCCCAGACTGGAGTGCAGTGGCCGCTCCCGGCCACCGCAGCCTCGACCTGCTGGGCTCCGGCGATCCTTCCGCCTCAGCCTTCCGAGTAGCCGGAATTACAGGCGCGCGCTACCACGCCCGGCTGACCTTTGATTTATTGTAGAGATGAGGTCTCGCCGCCCAGGCGGGTCTCGAATCCACGGGCTCAGGCAATCCACTCACCTCAGCCTCCCAAAGGCACGGGATTACAGGCTGAGCCACCGAGCCCGGCAATTCCCTTTATATTTAGAAAAGGGCCACACTCTCCCTTCGCGAGGGTCGTGCAAGTATGGCATGAAGCCAACAATAGTGTGCCACATGCCACGAAGGTCTCTGGGTGCCGGAGACCAAAATGGTGGCAGAGTCGGGCAGGGACGTCTCGTGTTTCCTGCTCTGGGTGGACTGTGAGGATTGGTTTGGACTAGGAGCGAGTGGCCTCTGGAGAGAATCTCTTGCACACACATGCCTAGGGGAACTCTCTGGGCTCTGTGGAGGCTGCCAGCTCTCTGCTTTGGCACCTCCCAAGCCGTGAGTGATTTATTGTATCTACCACCAGTGCTGAGCAGAATGTCTTTCACGTCGTGAGGTCTACGTACATGTGCATTTTTGTTTTGTTGTGGGTTGGTTTTGAGAGACAGGATCTCACTATGTTGCCCAGGCAGCGGCACAATCATGTCTTACTGCAGTCCCCAACTCCTGGGCTCTCAAGTGATCCTCCTGTCTCACCCTCCCCAGCAGCTGGGACTACAGGCACACGCCACCATACCTGGCTAATTTTTTTTGAGAGACAGGATCCTGCTGTGTTGCCCAGGCTGGTCTCAAAAGCCCTGTAATCCCGCCTCGGGCTCCCAAAGCGCTGGGATCACAGGCGTGAGCCACCACGCCCGGCCTAGATCTGTGTTTTGAGTAGGTGACTCGATGATCCACGGAGGTCCAGCGGAAACGTCCCGGGCAGGTACTGAGCCTTGTTCCTCTTGTGTCCCCTCTGCAGCTGGAGCTCTCCAACACCGCCGTCCTGCACCAGATGCGGCGGGACCAGGTGACGGACACGTGCCGCGCCAACAGCGCCCTGAGCCGCAAACGGCGGGTCCTGACCCCCAACGACCTGAAGCACCTGGTGGTGGACGAGGACCACGAGCTCATCTACTGCTACGTGCCCAAGGTGGCCTGCACCAACTGGAAGCGGCTCATGATGGTCCTGACCGGGCGGGGCAAGTACAGCGACCCCATGGAGATCCCGGCCAACGAGGCCCACGTGTCGGCCAACCTGAAGACGCTGAACCAGTACAGCATCCCGGAGATCAACCACCGCTTGAAAAGCTACATGAAGTTTCTGTTCGTCCGCGAGCCCTTCGAACGGCTGGTGTCAGCCTACCGCAACAAGTTCACCCAGAAATACAACACCTCCTTCCACAAGCGGTACGGCACCAAGATCATCAAGCGACAGCGCAAGAATGCCACCCAGGAAGCCCTGCGCAAAGGCGACGATGTCAAGTTCGAGGAGTTCGTGGCCTATCTCATCGACCCGCACACCCAGCGCGAGGAGCCCTTCAACGAACACTGGCAGACCGTCTACTCCCTCTGCCACCCCTGCCACATCCGCTACGACCTCGTGGGCAAGTACGAGACCCTGGAAGAGGACTCCAATTACGTCCTGCAGCTGGCGGGCGTGGGCAGCTACCTGAAGTTCCCCACCTATGCAAAGTCTACGAGAACTACTGACGAAATGACCACAGAGTTCTTCCAGAACATCAGCTCAGAGCACCAGACGCAGCTGTACGAAGTCTACAAACTCGATTTTTTAATGTTCAATTACTCAGTGCCAAGCTACCTGAAATTGGAATAAAAAGGGGGTGGGAGAGGGAGAGGGTCATGCTTTTTAATTTAAGATTTTTATTTGTCAAGAGAGTTCTATGGATATTGGGTTATTTTGTAAATTAATGTTTCTTTGGGGGTGATGCTGCGAGCAGCGTGGGTGAGGATTATTTAAAACCCCTCGAGGGGAGGACAGCCGTCTTTGCGGGGGAATCGGGTGGGTCGTCCTCGGGTTGAGAAGTGAATCCTGCAACACGGTTCTCAAAGTTTCCTTGTGTTCTGGTGAATTCCATGAATTGTGCATTCCATAAATTCTAATTAATATTATTTATAGTTATTTAAACATGGTCTCGGTATAGATTTCTTTTTGTGGCAGCAGCGTTCTAACGTCTTTCCAGAAGAAATGTATGTTTCGTGCTTTGCTTGCTACAGCTCATTTGGGGCTGTGAATGTTCTCACTAACCTCTCACGGAGTCTGTCGTGTGTACGGATGCCACCATTCCTCAGTTTCTGCTGGAAATAAGTAGGTCGCTCTTGCACGAAAAGGTATCTTTGCAAGGGACTCATTCCAAACGCATTTCAGTCGATCTGAAAGTCCCTTGCATGAAGAGATGTGATTTTTTATTTTTTTTATCATCCCAAGGAGAGAGCTGATTGTAGCAATTTTTTCACCGGAATTAGCAATCTGATAGAATAGGCTTTTTTACAGAAGTTTTTAACTGGCAGTGCCAGTTGCAGTGAAGGTGAAGTGACTTTTGCTTTACATTAAACGAATATTTATTGAGCATCTATTATATACTAGGCCCTGCAGATAGAACATTGACCAGACCTAAGCTTTACATGGACAAGAGCACCCAGCTCAGCAGTTAGCAAACCCCTGATATTTGCGGACTTGACAGAGGGTTGAACTCTTCATGAGCAACCCCAGAAGGTCCATGACCTACACATCTACATTTTTCTATGACCCAAATTTGAAAACCACATGCCTGGAGCAGGCCGCTTAACTTGGTGAGTGATCCCAAGCTCAGCACAAGAGATGGTAAAAACGTCTCCTCTCGTGTGCTCGCTACAGTTGATTGGTAGTGTCTGCCTTTAAGCCCCATATTGGCTTCTCCAGGCAAAGCGTGGAAGGGTGATTCGCATTTGTGGTTGATTAGCAATGTCTGCCTTGGGTACAGGAAGGGGCTCGCAAGTGCCTCCTTCTGTCATTTCCAGCCCAACACCCCATCCCCGTGTGGAAGTGTCGTCTTCTACCGCTTGCCGTGTGCCAGAGTGAAATGCCCGGGTGAGACTCACACACTCGGAGATTTGCAAAGGTTTGCACCTCTCCTAAGGGTCAGAGGTGGACGTTTGTACACAGCCACACGTGCACACCCTCCCATGTCCTCCAGAGGCTGAGGGACCGTGGGCACTCGGTGACCACCATGCGGGGCAGCAAGGATGGCTGGCCTTCCACGTCATAACTCATGCCCCCTTTCCTCCAGAAGGCTGGACGCTCATTTCCTGCTCCTTGTGCAGTGTCCTCTACGCACACTTCTCATTTCCGGCCATCGCTGATGCTTCTCGGTTAAAGTTTGAGCCACGTCCCTCTCACAGCTAGTGTATGAGTTGGCAGCAGATACTGTAAATAACAATAATAATAATAGTTCTAATAATAGGGGTGGGTGGGATATGGGTAAGTTTTGCTTTTTGTTTTGTTTTTGATGCCGTATATAGCGAAGGGGTGAGAATATTCTAAACAAGCAGAAAAAAATGAATAATTTATTCACAGAAACTATTAGAAGTGTGTTGTGAAGCTCACCGCAAGCTCAGTGGGCAGCGGCTGCAACTTCTCACCCAAGAGATTATTTTATTTAACGTGCGTGGGGTGTGCACTGGAGAAGTTGCCTGAGCTACTTACGAAATGCTGGGTATTTTCTCCTGAGCTCTCTCTCCCCTTTGTGAGGGGCACAGCAACAAGACCCTTGATTTGACAGAGAAGATGCAACGCATTTTACCAAGTAGAGTGACAGATCTCATGTGTCCCTACTCTGGTCACTGTCCTCACAAATAGAGCTTCTGCTAACAAAACAGGTTGCCCAGCACTTTGTGAACAAAGGTCCTAGGGGACATCCAATTGACATGATGCAAACTAAGGGTTTTGTGGTCAAATATCCTCAGGAAGCAAAGTTGTCGGTTTCCTTTCTGCAGGACTTTTCAGAGCATCGAATGTGTGTGCTGTGCATTGTGAATCCCCAGATCATTGAGTTCATACCCTTTCCTGAATTTACATGCCAGGATACTCTATTTTATAGATCATCCCACAGGGCTCATGTTTCCTAAGATACACTTTGGTTAGGCTGGCTTGGGACATCTGAGTTCTTCGAAAATAAAAACTGCCACCCCAATACCCCTCCAAAGAGCAAAAATATAAAATGGCACCACAGTCTCTATCTGGTTTATAGCAACAGTGGTGCTTTATCAAATGAATTACACTTTTACTTTAAGTGCAACGGTTCTGATCCTGGATACTGCCACGGACAGCCATTCCATTCCTCCCAAAGGGAATGGAGGGGGAACCCTTGGGTGGTGTGGACAGAGGGAGGGGGTGGGGGAGAGGCACAGGGCCACAGAGGGGCTCCCCACTCCAAGCCTTAGGGGAACTCAGTGGGAACAGACATCTCTTGATGAGTGCTTCTTCAGTTCTGGAGTCTGGAATTCTTCACTGTGCGCTTTTTTGGTTTTTAAATGGAAACTCGTGTCGTGTTGCGTTTCTGTGTCCGTCTTTGATCAGTTGCACCAGCTTGCTCGGTGCTGTGTGCACATGGCTTTTTTTCAGCCGGCTTCTCTCTCTTAAGTGAGAAAGATTGTCCTTCAGGGGACAATACATCAATAGGTTTCTGAGATGAGGGACTCTCTCCTCGTGTTTTGTTTCGCATTCGCATTTTATTTTCTAATGGCATAAAAACTTTTTAAAAAACCGATTCAGCTGTTTTGTAGAACGTAGATGGTGTTCTGTGTCCTTGGTGAAAGCAATCCATTGGTGAAGTGTGCCTGGCAAATGCAAGTTGGCATTTCTTAAAGGGGGATGTTTGAAGCCGCCTCTGCGCATGCTGAGCTGGAAAAGAGTACAGGCAGGCACCCCGTCTCCCGCCATTTCAGAAAGACCAGGCACAGTCGGGGTAGTGGGACCCACTAGCCAAGGACACTCCTGCTCACCCTACCCTTTGGTTGGAAACCTCTGAATGATTCCTGGAGCTTCTCCAGACACCCTCACTGCCCTCCCCAGCTGGTCTGGGAAGAAGGATGGCCTGCTGACCCCTGTGGCTCAGGGGGACTTTCCTCCCCCCTGTCCACCAGGTGAGCTGCACCTCTGCTTGTTTAGGAGAGCCGTGGCTGTAGGAGCTTCGGTCAGACCAGTTCTGGTGGCAAAGGCTTGGAAGCCCCAGGCGTCTAATCTATGCTACTAGGAATTCCAGGATAAAGTGTGCGGGTCTCTGGCACACTCAGCTGGTGGGGTCTGGACCAGGCTGAGAGGGTAACAGCGGAAGTCCCTCTTCTGACCTGGCAAGAGGCAGAAGCACTCTGTTTGCTCTCCCAGTCGGCTCTCTCCTTCACACACACATGCAGGCTCAGCTGCTCCATTCTGTGCAGCCTCACTGACCAGATCCCTTCCCGGCCCGCCTCTGTGTCAGCAGGACTGACCCCGTCGCGCCCCCAAGTTCCCATCACCAGCATTTCCTTCAGCCATTCCCCAGCACAACCAGCTGACCCCTACAAACAGGCCACAGACCCTTCTAGAACCGCTTGACCCTCGGCTGTTAACAGGCAAATTTCAGTCTGCTACACTTTGTTAGGTACAGAAGGGGCTGCCCGTACTGTTTTCTTAGGAGCATGCTCAGTGTGGCATATGGACGTATAATTTAACATCTTTGTGGAGTGGGATTTTTTTCCCCACATATTTGTATGCAGTCGGGGGCCTGGTGTAGAAAACTCTCCCTGTACCTTGCTGTACTGTTAAAGCAAAGCTGAATTCCACATTGCCAACAAAAGCGTGAAATGTTCATGAACCTTCCGCCAGGAAAAGCCATTCAAGCCTGATTATTTTTCTAAGTAACTTCAATTAAATTGAAGAAAAAAAAAGAAGCTTCTTTCTGTGTATGGTTTGTTCATGGCTCATTAACAAAAGACTGGGGGTGGGGGGTGGGCCGTAGTCCTTAGCATGTGGGCGGCCCTACTCATGCATGTCGCAGGATGGAGACGTGGACCCCGTTGGTAGACTGGGAAGACGGCCACGGGTCCGAATTCTTTGTTTATTGGGTGAACGGAAGCTTGTCTTCATTCCACTCTTTCTAGGGACTCTTTGTAGAGTGGTACATCACAAGGCCCGCCGTGACCATATAGCTCCACCACTCGGGAGAAATAGGGCAGTGGAGATGCCCGGAGCTTAGACAGCTCTGGTGGGAGAGCCCAGGTGGATGTCCCCTCAGAAGCCCATGCCCTGGGCACTCAATGACATGCCCCTCCAAGTGACTGATCCTGCTGCCAGGAAGACACAGACCTGCACTCGCCCCATCTTCTAACTCCACTCCCATCCCCTTGGGATGCCCCATGTGGCTTCCTTCCGCTCTGTGGCTGGGCATCCTTTAGCTTTATTGGTAAAAGTGATTTGTTGGTCCAAAGGAGAAATCATACCTCATGTCGTTTCCCTATTCCACTGCATTGTCATTTCTTTAAATGTGGTATCTAAACACGTGAACATGAGAACATCGGGGAAGAAGATAGATACCATTTTTCAGCCATGCCAGCTAGGTTTCCAATCTGTCCTCTCACCAGCTGGCGTTCCCCACCCAGGGCCTGGCACCCACCCCTTGCTGGCGTCACCACTGCCTTTGCTATGATCCATCTGGTTGGGAAATGCCCAGACCATAGAGCTTAGTCATCTCAGATTAATGGAAACCAGACTTCCTTTTTCCTCAGTGAATGGATGTGATTTTGTCACTGTCTCATGTGGGACATTATAAATGTCAGTGGGAAACCAGGCTGGACGTGGTCATCTCCAGCCTGAGTCTGTTCCCCTCGGAGCAAGACTGATGTACCAGTGGCCAGCTAATCAGGACGTGTCTGATGGTGACCGGGTGCCCTCTGAAGCTACACAATCCCAGGAGCCTGTGACCCAGGACCCTGCCCAGGCCAGGTCAGTGAGGGGATTACTGACCCTCTACCAAGTGAACACCAGTAGGGTGGTAGAAACATGAATGTAGGACAGCAAAGTGCGCTTGCTTGGGAAGAGCTCTCTCTTCTCACGTTATGTCCTATGTTGTAGGTATTAGAATAACTTTTCCATTATGATAATAAGTAAAA